GTAATTGTGCAAGAGAATCCTTGTCAGCTTCAACTGTGTCTTAGGATGGTACTTACCACTAATTTTTGTATGTAACTTAATGAAACAATTGGAACAGTATGACTGCAGGCACGGTTTAAAATTGAGCGAAAATATAAAAGGAAGGCATGAAAATGAGGTCAAAGAAAACAAACTAAGTAGAACAATTGGGTGAGAAAATTGGAAGGAGACTAAAGGATGGATAAACAGAAATAAAACTTGGAGGGATAAGGAGAAAATGAAATCCAGGAACCCAACAGAAGGTTTCAAAGAGGAAGTTGAAATGGCCTATAGTATGTTAGAAACACATAGTGTTCAACACAGTTTATCCCAATGGTGTATGTTGTAGGCTCAGAAGATGAATGCTGGAAAACATCTTGAGGCGTTATCATTTACGCTTCCCCAGGGCAGGATCATGTGCACACTTTAAAATATTGCTGACCCACTTTCATGAGCACTGAAGAGAATGCATGGCACTCATTAATTGCCTGGGTACTCTTTTAGACTGGCACTGCTCAGGCAGCTGGAAATATTTAATTGATGCCAAGCATGACCCGAGGTTGAATACAGGTACTGGAATAGTCCCCTCTCTACAAGTAACTTGGTAAGTAGTCATGTATGTACATAGAATACCAGTATTAGAATGGGAAGACCAGTCCTTCAGGAGAAAAATCTGTGCTGCTGGGAATAATTTAATCTTCAAGAGCAATATAAATGAACTGAAGTTGTTTCTGTTTAAGGACAATTTGGTTTTTAGCATCTGCAGAATAGGCAATGGAAAGTAGCTGGAGAAGAACATTAGTAATTAAATCCTCTCGGTGTTCAGAAGTTTTTGTTCTCATGAGAGATCTGTTATTGGTGTGGTTCAGGACTTTTTGACAAGTTGATGGACATGTCTGTGCTTCTCTTTCCCTACTTGCTCCATGTTTGAGTTATTGGTCCTTAAAGCTGAAACTAGAATAAGAAGTCTCATGACTGTAAATATGAGAGCTCTTATGCATAGTTACCAGTATTTATAAAGCTTTTCTCATACACAGCATGTGCTATCATGTCCAAATAAGAGTATCAGCAGAAACAAGGGCTGGAAAAATAAGCGGCTTCTGAGCTGACTGGGAACGCCTCCACTGTGTTCAGTTAATTTTAGAGAACTTGTTTATGAGCACTGGGAACTCCACTTCCCCCCACTTTCTAGCACAAAAGCAATGGGACATCCTCTAAAATCTGAAGTTGGCAAATCCAAATTAATTCAAGTGAGAAGTAAATTCCTCTCATATAACAGCTAGAACTGTAGCATTCATCAACTGTAACATGTACATGAAGCAATGTACAGCAAAAATGAGTAAAGAAAATGGCAACTTTATGGGTTTTAAGACTTCAGAATTATGCTAGTGATCACAAAACTAGCAGAACTAAGGAAGCTTGGTTTCTATCGAGTTTGTCTCTCGTGATTAGTTGATTTTTTTAACTGAGTTATACTAAATCCTTATGCCTCAAAGCAGCCACAGTCCGAGTCCTCAGTGATACTGTAATTGCTGGGGAAACATCAGTCACAGCTGCACATTATTAGGCAACAGGCAGTCACCATGGGAAACAAACCTTGATAAAGACGTGAATTCCTTGGTGTCACATAAAATACTTATTTCAGTTGCAGTTTCCCATCATTAAGAAAATCTCTTGCCCATGAAGACTTTCTGTTGCCAGATGAAGTTACAGGTCACTTTGCACCCTTTTCTCAGCCTTTCTTTATGGGACTCTTGCTCTTCTCCCTGGTCATGACTTTTAAAAGGCTTGTGGCAACTCAACCCTTCCACTGAAGTAGCTTGAAACTGGTCAGGAAGTTCAAACGATAGTCATGCGTATAAGCTGTAGTTGTTTAGGACATACTCATGGAGTTATAAAGTAAAACCTTACACTTAAGAGCTCATTCAGTAAGTTGTATGAAACATCTACCTTAAAAATTGGATTGGTTCACTTTTATTTCACTGAATTTAGATGTTAAATATCACATGAAGTATTCTGTAGCAGGGGGGCATACTGTGTTTGCTTTTTGGTGTTTTTTAACCATAAATAGCTCATAATAAATTAAATTAAAAGAAACCCGTCTGTTACTGTTCTTGTTTTCTTACCCATCATTTAAATGGTAAACATCAAATTGTAAAAATACTTCAACTGTGTTCTCCCCTTTAACAAAGAAAATGTGATAACTCTTCATCTTATTGTGAAAAAGGTGTAAACCACCCACAGATACAGGTCTGAAAACATTGGCTGCTTTATACAGAATTGTTTCAATGAGCTTCTAGAAAATTTCCCACCTGGCTTCTGGTAACATTTACTTGCTTTTTAACCTTACTACTCCACTGATATGAAAGGAGGTTGCCCTAGCTGATATGAATGTTTAAAAAGGGGACAGTTTGTACTCTGTAAATTTTTCAAGCACTTTTAATTTTAGTAATCCATATCTACTTTTTAAATGAGTTTGAAAAGCTTTAGTTTAAACTACAATCGGTTGCTGTAATGCTACCACCGGAGCACTGGCATGGCACATTGGTTCTTGTCTAACAGGACAACAATCAGACAAATGTGTTGTAATTTTTATAAAAGTAATTTTTTTCCTTCCTGGAGAACAGCAGCTGAAAGTGCCTGAACACTGTTCTGGAGCACAATTTTTAAAACATGCTAGCCATTGCTGTTGCAGTTGTTTGCATCAAATATAAGTTTCCCTTTCCTGCAGTGCATTTCATCTCTCTGAACTGAAGGGTTTTTTTCAGCATTATCCCAAAACCCATTTAATTTAGGTTCTTGAGCTTTCCTACCATGACAAACATGCTATTTTTAGGAGTGTGACCAGCAGGTCGAAGGAGGTGATCCTGCCCCTCTACTCTGCTCTTGTGAGACCTCACTTGGAGTACTGTGTGCAGTTCTGGTGTCCTCAACATAAAAAGGACATGGAACTGTCAGAACAAGTCCAGAGAAGGGCCACGAGGATGATCAGGGGACTGGAGCACCTCCCGTATGAAGACAGGCTGAGGAAGTTGGGGCTGTTCAGCCTGGAGAAGAGAAAGCTGTGTGGAGACCTCATAGCAGCCTTCCAGTATCTGAAGGGGGCCTATAGGGATGCTGGGGAGGGACTCTTCATTAGGGACTGTAGTGATAGGACAAGGGGTAACGGGTTCAAACTTAAACAGGGGAAGTTTAGATTGGATACAAGGAAGAAGTTCTTTACTGTAAGGGTGATGAGTCACTGGAATGGGTTGCCCAGGGAGGTTGTGAATGCTCCATCCCTGGTGGTGTCCAAGACCAGGTTGGAGAAGGCCTTGAGTGATATGATTTAGCATAAGGTGTCCCTGCCCACAGCAGGGGGTTTGGAACTTGATGATCTTAAGGTCCTTTCCAACCCTAATGATTCTATGATTTATGATTTTTTCTTTTTACTGATGTTGTAGAATAGTACAGACAAATGAAAGTGGATTAAAAAAAAATCAGGTTTTGTCTGAACAATTACAGTATAATGGTATGCTGCGGGTTTGTCTCTGTTAGCAAAGAGCACTGTCTGGCACTAGGGAGAGGTTGTCTGCCAACATGGGGGAAATGCTGAAACAGTCCATGGCCTGAAATGGCCCCTGCCGGCCAACCTTTTTCTGGTGGCTTTCCAGGCCTGTTTTGGGAGTTAGAGGGTCGGGAGTTGTCTCTATTAGGCAGACTGCATGCAGCCATCTAATTCAGTCCTGTCTTAGAAGGTGGCCTTGTCCCTGGGAAGCAGCTGGGCATGTTTAACTTAATGTTATGGATGTAGCCCTTAAGATTTCTCCGAGCAACCTGAGGTAGCAACTACTGCTAGCAGCTGGTGGTCAAGACAGCAGCTCCCCTATAATACCAGTACTTGATCCTAAATCTGTAGATGCCTCTTCCCCCAGGTCATGCCTCCTCTGCCCTGACACCGACTGTGTTCTTGGCCCATTGTCCCCTTGCTCTCAGGAATATCTGTCGCCCCATGCTGGGCATGTGAACAGGGCTCAGTGGAGGAAGTGGTGTTCCACACAAGCAGCTCTGCCATGGTTGCAAGGGATCAAACAGTAAGGTAGTTGGAGCATATATCAGAATGTGACATTTTAAGGCTCAGAAGATTAATAAAATGGTTTAAAATGGGGTTGAGGTTGGTTTGTGATTTACTTTTCCTCATTTTTTTGCAGTGTTTTTCTGAGCCCCAAGTTTTTAATTCAGATCATTCTCCTTCCTTTTTTCATGGCTGTTTCTTCCCATGCCTGTTCCCTCCTTCTGTTGTGTTCCCATACCCCTGGCTGCCTGCCCCTCTCATGAATTCTTTTATTGTTTAATTTCACTTGTATGCGACCCAGTCCTGGTCTTCTGTGGTCTGTCTCTTCTCTGGTGCATGCTTTGTCATTCCCTCACCATGTTTGCTCCCCCCATCAGTGAAACCACAGCAGTGCTGCTGATGCTTCTGTCCTTTCTTTGCTTCCCTCCACCTCTCTCTTCCTCCCCCTCCCTGTTTTTTTCAATTTCTCAGATGTGTGTAGGATTGCCTCCCTTCCTGTACTGACAACTATAGCTGAGATTAGAGCATCTTTGCCCATCTCAGCTCTGTCCAAGCCGTGGGTATTCTCAGGGCTGTTCCATTGTACAGGCAGCCATGTACCTTGGCTTCTGCAGACTGGTACTGCACAGAGTAGAGGAGGTGCTGGCTAATCATTCCTGCTCAAGCAGCTTTAAAAAGCAGGATTTTTAATCCTCCTTGCTTCTCAGTGCAGGTACATTCAGGTGAGACTTTTCTAATTTTAGAAGTAGATTTTGTTGCCACACAGAGAAGGAGGGGAAAAGAAAGAATTGCTAAATGGTGGTAGCTGGGCAAAACTCGCATTTAGCTGTTCTGTATTTTTGCAGCTATGTTGCATAAGTGACAGGTGACAGCTCTGTGCTTGTCTCCTTGCAGGCTGGTAAGAGCAGTAGGGAGACCTGCGTGCAGCTGTTCATGGGGAAGGCTGAGATGGCTGCCCAGATACTTCAGGTCAGTGCTTTGGCAGTATTTCCTGAGCCATAATTGCTGGATTTCCCTGCTGGCAAGCAGTGTTTTCCTGGCAGGATTCTGGGAATAGCATCAAAACCCACGACAAGCAGTGAGAGGGTTTTGTGCTCTGAGTCAGAAGTAGGCTGAGAAGATGCAGTCATCGAAGAACCTACCCGAGATGAGGAAGGAGGTCTGTATGAGAAGGATATTTCCAGCATGAGGTTTTGAGCTTGGGGGCACCTTCTCTTGCCAGCATGCTTGGTGAGTCTGCAGGTCAGTTGCTGGGTTTGGTGCAATCACAGCAGAAGGGAGATTACTGCCTTTCACCACCACCACCCTGAACTAGCTCATCCTTCTAGCTATTTCTGTCTGTGCATATCTATAGCATCATTTCCCTTATGCCTGTGTATCTGCCAAGCATTCAAAACAGGCACTGCTGTGGCAGCCTCCTATCTTTCTCTCCAGCCTGGGGAATAAATGACTGGATTGCTCTTTTTTAATTGTTTCTTTGCATCAAGAATTTATGGTGGGAAAGCTAAGCTGGAGAAATGCTTTCAGGAGCAGGTGGCCAGTTCAGCAGATCCCCACTTGTCCTTAGCCCCTAGGGAGGTCCTGCTGCTTGGCCCTTGCTGGGCTCACTTGCTGCCCTGTGCGTTGGTGCTCTCTTTGAAAGTGATGGTTTCATGGAGTGGGATGTGGTCTCTCGTAAGCACAGCCGAAGTCTGGATGCGAGAGACAAGACCTGGATCTGACTTCCTTGCAAGGGGACCTACAACAGAAAGCTGAGTGCTTGGGTGAGTTCACAGCAGCCAGCTTGTCACTGAATTTTCTATTAAAAATTCTAACATCTTTGTACTACCGATATACTACATGCTGCCTCTTTGCTGTATGTGTTGTTTTGTTTAGTTTGGGCTGTGAAGCAGACTGCTTTCTGTGTTTAGCACATCTCTGCATTTAGCACATCTATCTGTCGTTTGTTACTTTGTTCCCAGCTGGGAAGCTTAGTGTTTGCATCTGGAGTTGTACAAACACATTCAGACGCACAAAACTTACATCCTGCTTTTGAGTGTCTGTAATAACACTGGGTTGGGCCAGTAAATTTCACTTGGGTTGGAAAACTGGGATTAAGGCACGTCTTCTGCCACTTCAGTGTATGACTTCAGAGGCACTGAAGCATAGATAATAGATATATGTGTAACATACTGCTTCTGATCCTTGAAATACAAGTTGTAGACACAGTGGGATACAGTTTCAAAGCATCTTCACCACAGTTACTTTGTTGGAGAGGTAGGAAAAGAGATGCAATACTCAGATATTTTTTTTCTTTTAAAAAATTAGGGTCTAAAGACAGAATTTGATTGGGTGGGTTTTTAATAACCAAACTATGTTTCAGTATGAGGCTTTCAGGTCTCCACAGATATCTTCGTCTATCTTTCAACTGACTGAAACTGTCATTGTAACTTTTGATGTAAGATTTGGATTCAGACACCCTGTATAGAATCATAGAATAGTTAGGGTTGGAAAGGACCTTAAGATCATCAAGTTCCAACCCCCCTGACATGGGCAGGGACACCTCACACTAAACCATGTCGCCCAGGGCCTCGTCCAACCTGGTCTTGAACACCGCCAGGGATGGAGCATTCACAACTTCCTTGGGCAACCCATTCCAGCGCCTCACCACCCTTACAGTAAAGAACTTTTTCCTTATATCCAATTTAACTTCCCCTGTTTAAGTTTTAACCCATTACCCCTTGTCCTATCACTACAGTTCCTAATGAAGAGTCCCTCCCCAGCATCCCTATAGGCCCCCTTCAGATACTGGAAGGCTGCTATGAGGTCTCCACACAGCCTTCTCTTCTCCAGGCTGAACAGCCCCAACTTTCTCAGCCTGTCTTCATACGGGAGGTGCTCCAGTCCCCTGATCATCCTCGTGGCCCTCCTCTGGACTTGTTCCAACAGTTCCATGTCCTTTTTATGTTGAGGACACTAATATTTCTTTATTGACTCTGTAATTTACATATGGATTTTTGTGCAAAGTAGAAGTTGTTTTGATGAGCAAGAAACATTGCTGTATGTGGAGGATCTAAATATCCAAATTAGTGTTTCCTTTAGAGTTTGTGTAAGAGTTTGTAAAATCCCTCTGTAGAGTAGTAGATGGTGTAGGCGTCCATTGAATTAAAAAATACTTTTGTTTAAAAACCCCACTTTTGTTTAAAAAAGAAAACAAACCCAACAAAGGTTTTAGCACTTCCACACAGTATGAGGAAATTTGTAGTTGGCTCCTGTCCAGATCTAGCATGGGATGAGGTTGCTTTGCCTTGCTGGTTCTAGATTGCATGATGCTTCTGTCCAGAAGCATTTTACCAGCTTTTTGGCTTAGTTTCCTACTGGATTATAAATTCAGAACTGGCAGGTCCAAGGAAGAGTGTATTTTATCCTGCTGTTGGAAATCTTGGGATGAGTCCAGCAGGTTTCAGCATCGATGTATATTAAGGGTTTTATAAATCTTTAAGTAACACAGTGCTATTTTTCTCTCAGTCCATAAGTACAGGTAATTAGTTTTTATGCACCCTTTGCCACAAGTTGGTGGGAAAATCCTTTAGAAATGGGATTGTTGCCATTGCATCATTGCACGTATTCAGGAATGACAGCACAGGAGATGGGAGTAATTTTGTCTCCCTTTTACCATCTAAAAAGTTGAACTAGTCATTCAGGCTCCCACCACCTCAAAGGGAGAGGTGCACAATTCATCATACTCTGGATGACCTTTGTTCTCTTTGAGGGTGTGATGTTTATGTGGTTAAATAGCTTAATTCGCCTGCTCCAACCTAGGTCCTGATTCCTTTGATCAGATGGGCTGAGTTTCTTTGCTTCAAATACTTGTCTTTTGGAAACAACTAATTATTTCCCTTTGAGACAAAACCCATGTTAGTTTTGAGGACAGCTTACTGAGGGGGCTGACTCTGGGGGAGTTAAGGGTGATATCGCATGAGGCCTGGCTCTCCATGTGGTACACAGTCCTCCTGTTCTGCCCCAGCAGGAGGGTTACCAAAAGCACCTGCATGCCTATGCCTTGCTCTGAGGCAGGCAATATGCCCTTGATGCAGTTAAGTGCTGCTCTGGTGAGCTGCAGCCTAGGTCTCACATTACATCAGATGATTTTGAGAGGAGAAAACAATCAATTGCCACATGGCACTTTGAGGAGCTCAATGTATGAATATGACTAGGTAGGTATAAACAGAAGTGGCTGTATGGGTGCTTTAGGGGCAAGAGACCTGTCTATGGAGTGGGTGCCTTTGGTGGGGTAGCCTCTCTTGGCCAGGGAAGTATCTACTTGTTGAGCTGGACTAGAGAAAAAGCAAGGGAAAAATGGTTCTTTTCCTAGATTTTGCAAAATGTCATAGCTATGATCCTGTTGTGTAGCAAAGGCAGCAGGTGCCTGGCACTGTCAGAGTGGTCATGGTGGCCTTAACCAATCCTTTACAAGCCACTAAACCACACAACATTTGTGAACGCTGCTGCAGTGTGCTCCCTTGCATTCCAGTTCCTATGGAAACATACTGAAAAAATGTCTAAAAAAAGTACAGTGCTTTGAAACTATTATTATTTTGATCTTTCCTCCCTCCCCCTCCCCAGTCTCCTTTATCACCTTTCTGGCTGAAGTTTTAACATATTAAAAAGTCACTGTTATTATTTGGCAACAGTGTGATACCCAGCATGCCCAGGTTTCTGCATCCTTGAATCTGATGGATCCCAGGATCTGATACGAAGATCAGTGTTCCTTTCCTCCATCCTGCCCTCTCAGTGTGGGGCAGGTTGTGGGTGTAAGTTTTGAGCATATATAAATGCATGTGTGTTTGTGTGCACGTACTGCAGAGGCTTGACTCCAGCTCCTTTTCTTCCCCATGTAGTGAATAAGACAGTGTTGTTTGCCACCACAGGTGAAGGCACAAGCTTATTACCAGCTCCTTTTAGGATCATGGCGTAGCATTGGCCTGGAGGGAGTGCTGGAGTTTACCTAGTCCAGTTGACCATCAAAGCTGAGCCTTCTTCATTGGCAGTGCAGGAGATGGTTGTGAGCCAGATGGAGTCATCCTGAAGGTGCCCTTAGCTCCATGAGAAGGTCAATGTTGGAGCAGGCTATGGGCTGTCTGGGACAACTCTTGCAAAGAAAAACTATTTGTTCTCCCTAAAAGGATGCTCACGCTGGTGACTAAAACCAGGCCTGCCCATTTAAAGTGCTTTTCGCCAGCGCTTCTGTGGTTTCCTTGTAGAGCTACTGTGTCCCTTAGAGCAGTCTTCCTGAACTCAGTAATGTCTAAGATTTTCAAAGTAGCCATGTCCTATTTTCAAAGCCACTTTTGATGGAAGATCATTAGGAGAGCTGTGCTAAATCCAGTAAAGGACTAAAAGGCCTCATTTAAAACTAGGTGCTTACTTTTGTTCATTCTTGGGTTTCTGGTCTCTTGCAGTACCATGCCTCAGAACTCTGTGCTCTGTACCAGGAGAAAAGCTTTTGTATTTGAGTCAGAAGCAGACATTTAAATCCTGAAAATCTATTCAGGAATTTTTGGGCAATGCCAAAAACCATGATACCCTCTATGTGCTGGATACACATTTTCCTTATTATCTGCATTCCCCAAGTGTCTTCTGGTTCGGGAATACACACACCTGCTCTTTCTGTATGGCCCTGCCAGATCCCAGCAGTGGAGGTAATAACAAAAGCAGGTTTGAAATAAAAGGGAGTTGGCACTGGAGCAGTATTTTTTACAACTGCACATCCTAGACAAAATATATTACAGAGTCATGGTGGTATGGATGTAGGTGACGTTATCCTTTAACATCAAGCCATGTCTAAGCCTTTTGAGAAATGTGGGCATCTGTTTGAATCCTATTCCAAGTCGTGAGGCCAAATCCTGCTCACAGGTTTACACAGGCTTGCTGTGTAATTATGCACTCTGCTTTATTTACATTGCTGCATGTTTAGCCTTTGCATGATGTTTTATGTGCTTGTAGGAAGTGTAGTGGCAGCACCAGATCTGTTTTATTTTTATGTAACATCAAAGACCAGTAGGAGAAATATGAGTCTGATCTTATGGACAGAAGAAAGCTTTACGGTCTGATTTTAGGGTTGCTATCATACTGGAATTAAACCACTCATTAACAAAGCATTCAAATGTAAATGATAGTCAAAAAGTATTGTGAAGCCTGGCATTTGCATTCCATATCTGTGGAGATCTTTCCTTCCTTCCTTGAATAACAAACATTGGCTCTAGTACTGAAGCGAATACCAAGAGATACGAGAATTGTGAACTCTGGAGCACTACTGGATTATAAAGAAAAATTGCTCTGTTTTACCATGGAATTGCAAGGCTAAGATTTCGATTGCAAGGCCTCTTCTTGAACTGCTTTGAAGCTGGGCCACTGTAGATGTAACCTCCCTAACCCAACTGATAAGTTTGTGCATATGCTTGGTATGTAGGTCATTCACGTTTATCCTGAGTAGCAGGATATGAATGCAGTAAGACTTCAAAATATGTTGCCTTTCAACCCTTTCTCTGTAGCAGATTTCACTCTCCCACTCCTCCTTGTTCATGTACACTTTTTATGCTGAAGAAACCCAAACAAGATATCCCCTGATATGCACAGATAACTGATAAGTGAAATGCTAAATAAACAGCTACACTGACAACAGTAAGGGGCAGATGGAGATGCATATACCTGCAAATATAAGGGACAGGTATATATATCCATATATATGTATATACAAAGCCTCCTAGTCTTGCCTACTACA